TGACTACAGCATACTCAGCTGCACCAAGACCTTTTCCTGGATCAAAACTCTCTCCAAACAGACGTTCAATAAAATTTTAAAACAGTTATTTCAAAAAAACTTCAAAATATCCACTCAAGTAAACAAAAACCCATCCTATTTTAAAAACACTTTAACAAACTAACTTGATTGTGGGAGGCTTGTCCCTTTGTGGGAGGCCTATGTCTTTCTAAACAGAAAGAGTGCAAACTTTTAGGAAGAAGACATAAAAGCTCCCTTAATTATAACAACTTTGCTTAAGTTTTTCCGGGGGGCCATTGAAACTATAAAATTTTATTTTGGGCTACTATAAAAAGTATGCAAATAAATCTGAAGGTAAAAGAATAATAAAAACAATTCTAGTATGAACATCACTACACATTTTTTACAAACTTACATTCAACATTTACACTTTTTACATTCATATTTATATTTTTTAAATACTTATATTCAACATGAAACTTTATAGAACTATTTTACAAACTTATCTAGAAAAATCTCTTTACTAACTTATATTCAAAAGCCAACTCTATAGGATTACTTTCCCAACTTTAGCAAACATCAAGAAGAGATTTCTTAACAGAACTATTAGATTTTCTTTCAACAAGAGAGACAGTACACAAATCATGAGTAATTACCATACTGAGCTTCTTTAAAGCTCGTAGGAAAAACTTCCTATGAAGCCATTAGGCCTCTGGAGGAGTGTCACTGGAGCTGACATTACTCTGTTCCACACTCCTCACCAAACTCAGACAGCCAGAAAGCTTCCGAGGGTGTGATTTCCTCCTTCTTAATTTTTTGAAGCTGCATCTTAAGATTATCATGAGCATTTCAATGATGCCAATGTTTCTCTCTTGCATTTCAACCACAACCCAAGTTTCTTAATTTTTTATTTGCCCATAATTTTTTTCATACCCAAATTTCCCAGTGTACAAATCTTTCTCTTTCTTCCTTAAAGATTTTAAAATGATTTGAGAAGCATCATTAGCATTTTAATTGCCTTCTGACAGGCATCACCTGTTTCTCAATTTCCCATAGCAAATAATCCCCACCTGACAGGCAAGTTGTTCACATTTCTCATTTCTAGGAGGCAACCTAACAAAGCTTGTAGGAAAAATAGCATTTTTATCTGAAAAAAAAAAACCAAAAACAGTTATTGGGACAGTGCAATACTTGTATCTTTTTTATAGACTGCATTTCACAAACTGCCATTCTCTATATCTTCACAATGTTATGAACCATGTTATGGATTATATTTCCCAAGCTACCTTTCTCTATATTATCACTGCATTTCCCAAGCTACTTTTCAAACTACAATTCCAAGGTTGCCTTTCTGGTTCTGATCAGCTGCAGCCAGTGGTGACTTTAACTCTCCTGGTTTCATTAACATGGTCAAAATTAAGTTTCTGCTCCTTTATCATATGATTTTAAGTGAGTATTAAGCTTTTCACTTGACACCATCCCTGGAACAAATGGTGCCTGTCTGTGTGTACTCAGATGCTTGTTGCAAGAAGTGAAAATTTCTTGATGCTTTATACCCCTGCCTTACCAGGTCAGTGAAAGAAGATTAAAGTACTTGAAATAAAGGCCTTTTCAGTCTTTTCAGAGAATTCCCTTCCAGATAGTTTATTGTCTTGTCCTGGCTTGTCTCCTCCCCGCAGATACAGAGTTTCTGATGCCACTGCATGGATCAGGCTCTGCTAACGGCTTTTTCCATGCTAACAGCCCCTCCCAGGTTCCCATACCACCTCTGCTGTGGTTCCTGGGCATAGGCTCTGGCTGCACTGACTCTGGCTACTATTTTTCTAATTCTGGCTTGAAGGAGAGAAAGGAGTAGCAGAGAGGATTTGCCCTGTTCCAAGAGGTTTTTTGTTTTTCCTAGAAAAATTAAAGGTGATTTACTCATTCTGATAGATTTTCCAGGTGAATTTAATTTTTGCCCTTACAGAAAGAAAAACATTCTGAGAAGGAAAGGTCTGAAAAGCTTTTAGGTTTTTTTGTTTGTTTGTTTTCAGACAGAGTTTCTCCGTGTAGTTTTGGTGCCTGTTCTGGATCTTGCTTTGTAGACCAGGCTGGCCTCAAACTCACGGAGATCCACCTGGCTCTGCCTCCTGAGTGCTGAGATTAAAGTTGTGCATCACCGACACCCAGCAAGCTTTTAGTTTTTTAGAGGGAGAGATTGCTAAAATTTTCCCAAGACTTCTGTTCTCTAAATTTGGCTTCATGATCAAAAGGAAACTAATTTTGATTGTATGATGTTTTTCATACAGTGGCAGAGCCAGCAGAGTTTTATTTCACCCACAGCTATCTCAGGGAAAATTCTTTCCTCTGCCACTCAGGACTTAAATCTAAGCTGTCCACAGGCCAAAAGCTTTCATAGGAATCTTATTCCTCCCATTTTTCTCATCTTTGATAGACTTTTCTCTGATTCTTCCCCAGGAGTTTACATTCATAATCCGACAGTTGAAAAAAATCAAGGACATAGTTTCTCTGTCTTGTTGCATATCTTATCCTACGTTTTTTCTTACACTATATTTATATATTCTACCTTACATATTTTTTCTTATCCTGTGTTTTCTACACTATAATCCCACATTCTTCCTTATACTTTTTACTTAATTTTTATAGGTAGAAATTAAGATAGAGAGAAAAAGAAAGAAACCTAGATAGAGAGAAATATATTCTGCAGCCTTACATTTCAACTTTGGCATTCCACTGCCTAACTTTCACACCCAAGAATAAAATACCATCGCCTTTGTAATTATTGGGTATGTCCCCTTATGCCCATGATGCCCCCTTACACTCCTTTTACCAAGTCCCTGTACCTGATGCCATTTGTGGGGACCAGTTACCACTTACATATGACAAGGAACTCTTGAGGAGTGAGGGATAAGAGATTGAAGTAGAAATATAGAGGTGGAAGGATAGAGGGGAGAGAAATAGGTAGAAACACAGGACAGCCTCAGGAGGGCCTGGATCATTATCCACCAGCCCCTTCTGTCTCTTCTAAAGGGCTACTTATAGGAATGCCAAGGGGTAGAGCAAAGACCTCCCCCTAGCTCAGCCAAGTGTAGACCCTTCTAATCACCTAGTAACCATCCACATGGTCAAGCAATCCTCTAATGCAGCCCTGCTGGGGAAAGCAAGTTCAGATCTCACTAGGAAACATTTGTGGGCCTCCACACTCCAGTGATACTCCACCTCCTAAAGGTTCCAAATCCTCACTGACAGTACTATTAGGTGCAGAACAAGTGTTCAAACACATGAGCCTGTTAGGAAACATTTCACATTTAACTATAACTGTATGCATTAAATAAGTATTCTAAAAACAAATACTAAAACTTGGGAATTCACCAATGTGAAGATCTTTTTTGTTTTAATGTAACTATCCAGAGAGATTGCATTTTAAAATGGCAAAAGGTGAATTTTATAACAAAAATAAGAGTTAAGATTTACATGTTTTGTATCTGTCAACTATTTTAGTATGTGTTTAGCATGCAAAATGCATAAGATAAGGAAGAAATTGTTTCTCATGCTCAAGACAGGGGACAAAGTATATATTTGTTCTCTGAGCATACCATATTTAAACTCATAATTTATTCCCAGAGACATTGTGTCATTTCTCCCTTGACTGCTAAGTGTATGGATGAAAATCTGTCAACTATCCTTCATAACAGATCAAACTCCCTCCCAGGAGTCATTTCCCACATAGGCTTTACATTTTTGTATATACTTGCGCAGATTTCAGGGACTTGACCTGACTGGAGTGGCAAGGGAATGAAAAATATCAGACAAACTGAGAGAGGGGGAAAGGAGGGAAGGAGGAAGGGAGGGAGTATGAAAGAGAGAGAGAGAGAGAGAGAGAGAGAGAGAGAGAGAAAGGCACACATACACAAAGCTGGGATCAGATAGACTGGGCTCTTTGATGGGGAAACTCCAGGGTCCTGGAAGCTCACTGTGTTTATTGCATACAGTTAAACACAGAGGTAGGGTGAGTACATGCAGCTAGACAAGAAGATGGGCCTATCACATGCAAACAAACAAGGAGGCAGAATTATTATATACAGCTGAACAAGGAGGTAGGTTTAGCTAATCTCAATAGTAGCACCCTCTATAGGGGAGAGTCTTCAGATTATACATATCTTGGGGGGTGGGGAGAAAGCAACAGTGAATATTTTCTGCACACATTATCAACATTTTCACATGGACTAGAGGGAGTCTTTGCTATCCCTGGGAGTCTCACTCTCCAAGGAAAGTAGGCATTGCTATTTTGTCATGAGTCTCTGTCCTTGAAATGGCCTGCTCATTTCCACAGGACATACTCACTCAGGACTTACTCAACCAGGACAATCATTTCTAAGTATTCTATTTTTTGTTTCTGTTGATGTCTATGTCCATTTTTTACCCAAGTCATTTGAATTGTTGTTATGCAGTTTTAGGAGTTCTTTAATATTGTGGAGCTTAATACTGTCAGGTATGTATTTGTTCTTATTCTACAGATTATATTTTCACTCTGTTGGATTTCATACACATTGTTCCATATCTTTGAGGAAGATTTCATATTTCAGTATTGAATGTGATGTTGGCAGTGGATTTTCATATATGTCCTTAATTATGTTCATGTTATGTATGATATTTCAATTTTTTAAAAAGAAATTTTTTGCTAATTTGTTTGTTTTGCCATATTCAGGTTTGTTTTTATTTTATTATTTTTTCTGTCTTTATTTAGATGTCTGCTTTGTTTCTAATGAGAGAGAAAAGAAAGGGTTTGGATTTGGGTGGGGTGGGGAGGTAGAGAGGCTATTGGAGTCAAGGCAGGGGAAATCATAATCAGAATATACTTTCAATAAAAAAAAACAGTGCTTGATTCCACATAACAGCCTAGTGTTTAATGTTTTAGAAAGCAATTGTAATTTTTTTAAACTAGAGATCAACAAATATTGGTAAAAATAATCATTTTCTTCTATTAATGTTGTTTGCAGAGATGCATGTCCTACGCCTTATTCTTTTCCTTTTGGTAAAAGGATCTTTTGCAGCTTTCATCTGCATAAGCATTGCCTATACCCAGGAACTCACACCAACAGTACTCAGGTAAGAAAAGAAACTGCAAAGTTTCACCCTGAATACTGTTGGAAGCATCAAGAAAATTTAAATGAGTGAAATAAGGGACACTTTAGAAGGCATTGCTAGGATGTATTCTACTTTAGAGAAGATGCTATAAAGCCCACGATGGATTGGACCCTCCCCCATCAATCACCAATTAAGAAAATACCTTACAGGCTGGTCTACAGCTCACTCTTAATGGTCCGCTGAGAAGAACATGTGTTTCATTTCTGTGGGCTAGAATAGTCTATAGATAACTGTCAGGTCTATATGATTTATAGTGTGGTTTAGCTCTAAAGTGTATGCTGATGTTTAGTTTCGATCACCTGTGTCTTAGGGTTACTATTGCAGTGATGATACACCATGGCCAAAGCAACTCGGGGACGGAAATGTTTATTCAGCTTATGCTTCCACATCACAGTTCATCATCAAAGAAACACAGTACCAGAACTTTAACAGGGCTACAACCTGGAGGCTTGAGCTGATGTAGAGGCCATGGATGGGTGTTGCTTACTGACTTGCTCCACATGGATTGCTCAGAGTGCTTTCTTACAGAACCCAGGGCCACCATGCCAGGGATGGCACCACCCATAATGGGCTGGGCCCTCCCCCATCAATCACTAATTAAGAAAATGCCTTATGGGCTTGTCTACAGCCCAGTCTTATGGAGGCATTATCTCAATTGAGGTCCCCTCCTCTCAGATGACTTTAGTGTATGTCAATTCGATGCAACACTTTCTAGCACAATCTGTCTAAAGGAGAGTGGGATATATGTGATGTGATAGTGAATGTATGTATCTGTGTGTGTGTGTGTGTGTATGTGTGTGTGTGTGTGTGTGTATGTGTGTTTGTGTGTGTGTAGATGTACAGGTCATAAAAGTAGAAAATAGAAAGGAAAACACAAGTGGGGAGAAGGGAAGGAAAAGAGAGCAATGATGTGATTATGACATGAAAACAGAAGGTGGGACAACTGTTGGGGGAAGAACCTGTGAGCAGGGTAATGAGAAGGGGAAGTGGGAGAAGAGAGTAATAACACAGCATAATTGCATATGCATGAAAACATCTTAATTAAACTCAACACCTCATAAGCTAACATAAAACATAAAAAAATAGAAAGTGTCCTCCAACAATATTCAGAGATGAAAGGTTAGCATTTGCATAGTAGCTGGAAGGATAATTTAGTAGGTGAAAATATTCTGTCATATTTTTCCGAGTCCCTCTACATCATCATCCCTTGAGAACTCTGACCATATACAAATTTCAGCACAGAGACTACTATTATCTTCTGACTCTGCCTCTTCAGGCATACAATAACCAACCAGTTTAGCCTGTTACTTTGCATCTCTGGTGGCTCAAGTAACGCTTGTGCACAAAGTTTGAAAAGGCGCCATCTTGAAGATGTTTTCATGTACAAAACCAAAATGCTGCATGTTAAGGGACAGATGATGTACAGCACCATGACCAGTCCTAGCACACAGTCTTAAACATGCATGTGTATCTCAGGAGATTAGCGCTTCATGTTCAGGACTGCCTTTCCCTTGCAAAACCAAGACTCCATGTGTGTTTGCCAAGCACAGCACTCATTTCAGAAATCCTTACTGATGCATTTTCCATTAGCATAGAAGGACTTTTTTAAGTTTTCTATCTTCAGTAGAGATTCTTGAACGTTTTTACTATCTAAACAATTTGACGTATAATGGGGCCATATCAGACAATGTGACAAAGCAAACGTGTTTTGGAAAATTTACTGAAAATTTTGCTTGTTGATATTATTTATATTTCTTTGTGGTGGCCCCTTTTTCTCCTCCTCCCTCTTCTCTTCCTCCTCCCTTTTCTTGAAAATAGATTCTTTTCTCACATAGTGTATCCTGATTATGAGTTGCCCTCCCTCTATCCCTTCCGCTCACTCCCTCCCCTACCTCCCTTCCCATCTTAATCCACTACATTTCTGTCTCTCTTTAGGAAAGAACAGGTTTCTAAGAGATAATAATAATAATATATAACAAAATAAAATAGAATGAGGTTTAAAAACAACAGTATCCAGTATTATCAAATCAAAGTCGAACAAGACAAACACAGAGATAGCAAAGAGCCCAAGAGAAAGCATAACAATCAGAGATCCACTCTTTCCCACACTCAGGAATCCCATAAAGACACTAACCTGGAAGCCATAATATATACACAGATGACCTGGAGCAAGCCTGTGCAGGCTCTGTGTATGCTGATTCAGTCTTTGTTAGTTCATATGAGCTTTGCTCATGCTGATTTAGGAGACCTTGTTCTCCTGGCGTCTTCCATGCCCCTCTGGCTCTTACATTATCTCAGCTTCTTCAGCAGGGTTCCCTGAGCTCTGAGGGGAGGGATTTGGCAAAGACATCCCATTTATGGCTTATTGTTCCAAGGTTTCTTTCTTTCTCTCTGTGTAATGTCTGGCTGTGAGTCTCTGTATTTGGTTGCATCTGCTGCAGGAAGAAACTTCTCTGATAATGGCTGAAGAAGGAGCTAATCTATGATTATAGCAGAGTATCATTAGGAGTCATTTTATCACTACTTTCTTTTTTTTTTTTAAAGATCAGTAGTATTTTATTTTACCCTAGGTCTTTGGGCTATATAGTCTCTGGTTCTCGGTATAGGGTATGGGTTCCATCACCTGGTGTGGGTCTTACATCAAATCGCACATTGTTTGGTTACTCCCACAAGCTTTGTGACACTATTGCCTTAACATATCTTGCAGATAGGAAATCACTGAAGATCAAAACTTTTGTGGCTGAGTTGATGTTTATGTTTATCTTTTGGTATTGTGTAGACTACTTTCTTGTATCAAAGATACTAGGAAGAAGGCTTGATGGCTCTATGTAGGTACCAGCTTGATCTCTTCGTGTTCAATGAGTTATCTAGATATTGTCCTCAGCAATGGAGCCTTGCTTTCAATTTATGGAGAGCATTCTAGTGTCTTGGCAGAAGTCTAAGTTGTTTGAGGATTCCCATCTGACCCTTTTGGGAACTCAGATAGATGTAACCCAATTTTCCACTGATGCTGCACCATTTTAATTAATCAGTGAAAATTTCCTATTACTCTTATCCAATATTACACACTCTCTGAAGACAAAACTCTCCATTATCAACTGTCACTCTTGATTTTGAACCACCCAAATAAAAAATAATCTTCTTAATAAGTCTATTTTTATATAACTTTCAGGAATTCCATCCTCTTAGAACAGAAGGACATGTCATGCAATTGTTTGTTTGCAGAGGATTTAATGAAGTTCTTAGTGGGATACAGGGCATCTAAGAGCAAGACATGAATGATAGACAACCTTGAATTTACCTAATAAAAGCTAACTTTTGAGAAAGATATCTTATTGATGTATGAATAGACAGCCATCATGCTTTGTATATAGGTGGTTGACTTATTGGGTAAGTATGCATCCTTAAAGCTTTCCCATCATATTAGCCATCCAATAATACAGGCACTCCATTTATCTATTATTACTCATAGGCTCTTCATATTCTTTTTATTAGAATGTTATTATCATTTGTGGGAAATATTTTAACACACAACTGAAAATGAACTCTCTTGGCAAGTTTTGTCATCAATATGCAATTCTTATGTGTAGTCTCAATGCTCTATACTACATCTGCAAAAATTTATCATTAACAATTGAAATTTAATTCTCTGAAGCTATCCCCTCCCTAGTACCTGTTCTTTAGCTATGTACTGACATGCATATGATCCCAAGTGAGCTCATGGTATTTTTTGGCTTCTTTAATTTTTTTTAGTAATTAACTTTAACACTCATAATTTAATGCCCATAAAATATGCCCACTTGGACAAATAGGGTTTTTTTGTGGAAACCAAATGAGAAAAATACATGTAAAATGGCAACTTCATGTAATTGTTTGAAGAAATGAAATGTGAACTTGAATTATTTACTAGACTAAATTATCAAGATACTTCCTTTACTCTTTAGATTTCATTTTTTTGCAACATATCATCTTCTAAATTCTATAGGAAAGTGCCATCAGCCAAGTATTGATCCTCTAATTTTTAAACTAATATGCTAAAATTTTCAATGGAAGTCCATATACCAGGTCAAGATTTACCTGAAAAGAAAAAGAAGGAAGAAAGTAAGGTCAGTTCTCTAAATTCAAGTGTAAATAGACTTCAGAATTTCTTTTTAAGTGTAAATAAAGAAGTAAATAAATATCAGATACTGCACACTAAAATATTATTCTTGCTTATTTTAAATTTAATTCATCTCATATTATCAAGTAACCCTAATATTGGACTCCATGAACATTGATACAGTATCTGTTTTTTCCATTTTAAAGATGAGAAAACTAAAAATCACAATAGGCTATATACTCTGTGGACAACAAAAACTAATGCTTTAAACACCTTATAGCATGTCCAAGAAAAGCAGAAATCTGTGTCCATATGGAAATCATGCTTTGTATGGGACTCTAGAAGGCATAGGGATATATGTGATATATACACAACATTAATAGTACTGAATTATGGGAAAATCCACATTGGCCAAGGGTAATTTTGCATATCTGTGGTGAAAATGATACAATTGAGACCAAGCTTATAGATTCAGGTTTTCATTTCTGGTCTACTTTTTAAGGTCAACTCTAAGTGGTGTTTTTTACACTGCTTCCCGAATAGGAACATTGGTATCTGCACTTGTACTTGTTACTAGCAAGTATTTTGTACACCTTCCTATGATTCTCTGTGGGATCATACCCATAGTGGCTTCAATCAATGTCTACTTTCTGCCAGAGACTTTCAACCTTCCACTTTCTGACACTATCAAGGATTTGGAGAAAAGGTGAGCTTTTATGATGGTATTTTTTTGTGGGAATGTAGTGTGTATAGTTTTGAAATGGTTTGGAATTATATGGTAGATTTATATAATCTAATTTGATAAGGCTCAGAGTAGGATATGGTGTTTGTTGTTTTTACTCTTTTGGGGGTGCTCTACCTTTTGCCTCTAGGTGTTTTGCTTTTCTTGCTTCTATATATCTCTTACACTGTGGCTGGCTGCGTGGGTGGCTGGCCCCTAGCATTATCCTCTCCTTGTTCTCTTGCTCTTTCTTCTTTTTCTTCCAAGATTTCTCCTTCTACTTATTCTCTCTGCCTGCCAGCCCTGCCTATCCTTTCTCTTGCCTAACTATTGGCCATTCAGCTCTTTATTAGACTATCAGGTGTTTTAGACAGGCACAGTAACACAGCTTCACAGAGTTAAACAAATGCAACATAAAAGAATGCAACACATCTTAAAATAATATTCTACAACAAGAATATTTTGGTTAATTTTGTTAATATTATGTTTAGTAACATATGAATACTCATGTGATATACAACTGTGATTTGCTTTTACAAAAATAATTTTAATATATATGTATGTATTTAAATATCAAATAGCCTAGCATCCTGGTATGTTTGCCATTGAAAAAAGTATTTATTTGTCTATAATTTCACATAATCTGTGACTTGGAATGCATAATTTCTATACTGCATGCTAGAAAATTGAATAGGTTTTTCATATCTGTCTATCATTTATCTATTCAGATATTTATATATATTATATAAAATCAGAAGTATATATATGAAAATACACAATCAGAGAGTGTTAGAAAGAACTAGAGTTGGAGCCCAAGTCATTTGAAGCCAAATATTGTTTTATTTCTGCTTTTCCTAGTGGTCTTTAATGTTATATATTAAGCACTATCACTGTAGTTGCAAAATCAAATTTAAATCTTCCCAAGTATCTGTGACATAGCAGTAACCAATAAAGTAATAGTCATGTTATTTATACTTAAATTTAAATGATTGCTTTTATAATTTTTAGACCCTTAAATCTTTTAACACAATGTTTTGATGGTGATGGTCATAGATATGAGACTATGCATGTAATATTTACCAGAAGATTTTGATGAAATAATCTATCTTTTCCTGAAATATCAATCATTGACATGGTAAACAGCAATGAATACAATAAACATTCTGTTAACTGTTTCCTATTTCATCAGCATGGAAAATTACAAAGCCTTTTAGAAGAATTTCATTTGTATTTTCCCATGTAATTAGTACTGATACCTCCTAAGGTCAGCAGTGCTTTTATGATTAATATATATGAGAGAGTTTAAGTTATTAAGAGCTTAAATTATTAAAAGGTTTCATACCCAGACAATATTTTAAGTTTACATTTAATTGAATTAGACTTTGATGCCTTTTTGGGAACACAAATGAAGATGCAACGAAACATTTAACTCATTGAGATAAAACACATTGACTAATGTGTTTAGCCATGTAGGTGAAGAACAGGCTTGTCTTAGACTTCAAGATTATAGTCCATGATTGAGGGAGTTCAAGGCCTGAACTCAAGCAAGAATCCTGAAGCAGAAGTTAGGGAAGATTACTGTTTACTGGGTTGCTCTTGGGCTTATATTCAGCTGTATTTTTTATACAGTCCAGGACCCCCTCCCTGCCCAGTAGTGATGCTGCCCAGAGTGGGCTGGCCACTCTACAACAACCAATACCCCACCCCCTTGCAAAGACATGTCTGATCTGATCTGGGTTATTCCTCAGCTGAGACTCTATTCTCAGGTGACCGTTGGCTGTGTCAAATTAAAATTTAAAGCTAACCATTGCAGTATTCACATACGTATTTACTTGGTATCAGTAGGATGTTGCTTTCTTAAAACAAAGCATACTATATATACCACCTTAAGTGTCATCTCCACATGACTAACTTGTTTTCAGTTAAGTTCATCTCATCGTTGTATGCCCAAGTCCCAGCTGCTGACATAATTAATGACTGGCATAGATCTACTGGCAAGCCAGATGTCCACTATGCTCTTTTGATCTTCAGACCATAGTTTTCAGATCAAGATGAAATGAGTATTTCATGTTTCATACATCTTCTTTCACAAAGTGGGCATTATTCAGGGAAAGTAATACTTTTCTGATATGCTAAAAATGAGTATAGAATTAAGGTATAAAGATTTTGGTTTTTTTATTAAAAACTCTGTTTTTGAGTAACTGTCAGTTGTGTGAATTACAAGAGAACTTAGAGTTTCACTTGGCCATCTTTAAAATGGTCATGTTAATTCAAGAATATGTTGGGAAGTCTGAATGAATATTTGAGAGATGTGTAGCTTGTGTAGTACAAATAATCTTTACTTCTGTATTTTTACCATTTCTGTCTCACTTGTATGTCTATTCATCTAATGCTTTTTTTTATTTCTTTTATTCCCGGAACAGATTGATGAATAAAAGCATCAATGAAAAAGAAGGGCAAGACTTCTTGGAAACTACGGAATGCTAAAGAAGCCAAAATCCATAGGGTTTCCACAAATACAAACCCTCTTTGTCCTGTTCTGTACTGTAGAGACTTCACCCATTGAAGGACATTCACAAATACACTTATTAAATGAACCTATTGCAAAAGCAAATCTCCACAACATAGATGAAAATCCTAAGGATTTATTATTTAATAAACCAGGAGTATAGGTTCCTTTCATGAAAAAAATTAAAACAAATCTGTGCAATAAATACTTTGTCATAGTATTAAATGTAGTAGTATTAAATGTCGTAGTATTAAATTCTTTTTAAAATTAAGAACAAACTGTCCAAGAAACCAATTAGAGATTCTTATTATGTGCTTGTCTAGAAGTATGTATATTTTGATTTAAAAATCTTCATGAGAATAGCATAGGAAATTTAGAGACTTTTTTGAACAACATGATAATTATTTAGAGGATGAATTCACTACTATGATTTTTAATTGCTTGGTAATTCTTTAAAAAATTCCCACATACTGACAGTCACATGTATAATGAATTACCATGTTTGTAGACACCAAATGAAGATATATTCATAATGACTAGAATTGAGCATCATCATAACTAGAGATTATAAACTTAGACTTTTTTCTTCCATTTTTAGTAGTGAACAATGAGTTAAGTACATCAGGTGAGGGGTAATATCACTAAATTGCCAGATGTTAAAAAGCACATGATCAATTCCTTATGCAAATTTTCTAATAAAATCCTGATTGGGATAAACAAATTAGACATGATTATGATAAGACTCAGATAGTTTACATTCTGGAAGTCTCTAGGTCAGGTCATTGTTTCATGTGTTATCTTTTAAAGTCCACGGTGAATCATAGATATGCCTCATAATCTCCTTACATGAATTCCATGTGGAATGAAACATGAAGCACGAATGATGACCATGGATGTGGGGAATGAAAGTGAAATAGAGGGAATTAATTTTCCAAGTTCAGGATACTTGATAAAAGTTCGAGGCTGATTTTTCCCCTTCAGCAATTTATAAGCCAATTCCTATTTTCTGAAAGTTGTCCATAGTAAGAATAGTGCTATTTTTCCCTGAAGTTGATGTATGTTTGGAGAGAGAACATACTATTCATTTGTTAGTATGTTTATAGTTGCTCAAAGAGAAACTGCTTACTAACTTAATCCTCTAAATAATGTTATTGTAAATATGATAATTGTTATATATAACAACAACAACAATAATAATAATTTTATTATTATTTCTCACAGCTCCAGGTGTTTTTACAGTGGGAAGGCACCAGAGTTTTAGAATTCAGCAAATACTCATGGAAACAAACACAGAAAACAAGGCAGTTTATAGAAGAGAATTGAGGGACAGAAAGAGCTTCAGCACCCAATATACCTGAAAGCAACTGCGTATAAACTGTGGCTGAGCTGAAAGAAATAGTGACAGGCTGAAACAACATTAGCAGCCTCCCAACCCTAAGCAGAACCACGATCTCACCAGACATGGAGTTGGAGTCTCTAGCATGCTGGCACAAGCCACGCTCCCTCTTCTTCTCTTGTATTTGGTTGCACTGATGAAATGGGATGACATTTTGAAATGATTCATCTGAGCCTTTGGCTTGACCGGTAAAAATCTCCCTATTGACCTGGATCCAGGTCCTCCAAGCAAAGATCATGAACTGATCCTATGATCCTATAAATGTTAGCCTGGAGAGATATGCCAATTGTTAGGTCACGAGAAGCAGGTCCGAGATGTAGGAAGGGAAGTGGTTTATTCTCTTCCATGGCCATTAATTACAAAAGCTAATTACAAGAACTCCAGCATGGGAAACAAGTGATCGTAAATAGTTACGTACTGATGCGAAATTACAAAAAACAGAGAAATTAGGAGGATGGGCCACACAAGCTTTGGTGTAGATTGCTGCAACCTCATAATGTGTCCACACCTAAGACCAGAGATGTGATCATTCTTGGGGACTTCAGACTAGCTGGCAGGCTGGTAGAAAGCTTGACACTCATTCAGCTCCATCCTGCAGGGTAGGGCAGTGATTAGTAATTGAACCGTCCATTTTTTATAGTGTTTTGAGCAGACCAGATTGCTTTAAACAATTATATCTAAGTTTTCATTCTAATTTTACTGTAATTTTTCTGTTCTCTTATTTCACTCTCATTTCTCTTCTTTTTTAATTTCTAATTTCTTTATCTTCTTTCTTTTCCTATTTTCTTTGGTTCCCACCACAAGATCAGTCTAGCCTGGGGCTTGTGGTTCTTGTGCCTCAGTCTGTCAAGTTTTTGAATCACAGGCAGGAGCAGTAACACTCAGTTTTTAATATTTAATTATGTAGTATCTTCTTCTCCTTTCTGCTCACCCCTTTTCAATTATCTTCCTCTTCCAACTGCAACAGTTTTTTTTTAGTTTCTTATTTCTTTATTCTCATCTTTTCTCCTCTTATTATAATTCTTACTTCCATTGCCCTTTGTTGATTGGTTTTCTTCTTTACTGTATTTTTTCATGTGATCATTTCTATCTTCTTTTTCTTCAAATTCATCCTTGTATTTAATTTCCATATCTTCTTTTCTAACATTATTGCTTGTATTAATTTCTAAAAATAGCATTTGCAATTATACTTTGAGAATTTCCTATAATAAATTTTGAACACAATCAACCCTACTTCAACTCCTTTTCAGATCCACCCTTTCTGTCCCCCACCTCCCTACCCTCCCAACTTTGAAGTTTTCCCTCCCTTTCCCCCTTTTTCACCAAGTCCAATCTGTACTGCCTAACTACTCTTGGGAGTGGGGCATGCATCAGAGTGTGTTGGAACCACAGGCATCACACCATTAAAGAAATCCCACCTCCAGCTATAAAATGCTAATAGTTCTTCAGCTAGTGGTGAGATTTTTGTGTCCACTTCTGCACCACCTTTCTAGAACTTTGTCAGACTTGTTTGCCCAGACGTTTTGCATGTTGTCACAATCACTGTGCATTAATATGTACAACTGCTTTGCTTTGTCAGGGAAACACTGTTTCCTTGAACTTATTCATCACCTCTGGCTCTGATAATGCTCCCCTGTCTGCCAAGATTTCTGAGCCTAAAGGGAAAAGAGTGTAATATGTACTTTTCTATGGGAATCATGTTTACAGATAATTCATAAAATAATTGAATGAAAAGGAAATAGATTTCTGGGTGGTGGAATCCCAGCACTTAGGAGGCAGATCGAGGCAGATCTCTGTGAGTTTGAGGCCAGCCTGGTCTACAGAGTGAGATCCAGGACAGGCACCAAAAACTGCACAGAGAAACCCTGTCTCAAAAAAACCAGAAAAAAAATAGATGCTGGTATATTCTCACATTTTATTCCATGAATATCATTTACATAGGTAAATGTTCTGATCCTTGTTATTTTTTCTCCTTGTGAAAGCATCCATCTTAGCTTTTGTTTCTAAAAATATTACCTTTGTCAGTAAAATATCACCAACAATATTAAGATAAGAAAAGAATTTGAAATGGTCCATGTTGAGAATCTTTCTCAAGCTATGCTGCAAGCATCTAGAAATTTTAGATAAAAAAGTAGAAACTATTTTAAAAGACAATTCAATGAGTTTTCTAAAATTGTAATTCATAGAGACATAACTTGCAACCTACTGTTTGGCTAGACATATTATCCTGTAAAGTTTTTCCACTTCACTACACATTTTCATATATCCAGGCTACCAAATCACTCAGAGATTTCAGAGTATAGTTAAAAAATTGTATTCCATCTCTTTCTTCCGTCTCTAGTGGGTAACCAAGAGCAATAGCCCCATCAATAACTTGTAATATTTGGGAGTCCTTTGGACAAACCTGACCAACAACTCAAAAGATTACTTGAAGTAATCTTTTTAGTTAGATGACTTTTTTTAATTAGATAACCTTTGGGCCTCAGAGGGAGCATTGTCAGCCCAGGAAAGAAAATTTGATTTAAATTATATATGTATATTTATATTCAGATTTATGTTTATTATAGATTTGTTTTAATGTTTATTTACAATATGCAACTTGAAATTTTCTGTGAGCACTCATATAATTTTTATGATGTTATAATATTTAATTGTAAAAAATGAAGAAGGAAAAAGATAACTAGCCAAGATAACAAGATAACAAGATAACTAGCCAAGCTAGTTTAAATATAAAGGAACAAGTACATATTTATGTTATTCTGCCTGCATTTATTAATTTTTTCATTGTTTGTATGAAACTGAAATTTAACATGGTCTCCTCTAGTTTGCCTGGAAATCACAATACTGTACAATGTAGCTTTTAGATCACTATGGTTTTTCTCAAATTTACAAATGAGAAAGTTAAAATTCATATATAGTTTGTATATTTTGTGTATGATTTAATATATTTAAATGTAAAATATGCAATTTAAAATGTCTACAATTTATCTAAAAGGGAAAATAATGTATTATGTATGATCCATTAGCTGATATTTAGTATATTTATATAGCTAGAGGTTCATGTTGAGGAAACTATTTCTGATTTTTAAGGTCAACTCTACAAGGCAGTTGTAATTTTGTTGGCAGAATACCAGTAGTATTGTCTGTGTTAATATTGTATCTAGAAGATATTTTGTATACCTCCCCATAATTCCTTATGAAACATTTCCTATAACATCCTTAATATGCAGCTAATTCCTACCAGAAACAATTTATCTTCCACTTGTTGATACCATCATAAATATGGAGAAAAGATAAACTTATATGTAGCCAACTTATTTGAAGATAAACTAGGAAATTATGAAATGATTTAGCATTGTATTGAATTCTAGTTTTAAAAGGTGAAAGGATATAATATTCTAGTCAGCTTTTTTTTTCTTTTTTTAATTTTATTTTTCTTTATTAAGAAATTTTCTACTCATTCCTCATGCTATCCACGGACCCCCCAACCCTCTTTCCCAAGCCACCCCGCATCCCCACATCCTCCAAATCGAGGTCTCCCATGGGTAGTCAGCAGAGCCCAGCACACTGAGCCTAGGCAGGTCCAAGCCCCTTCCCACTGCACCAAGGCTGTGCAAGGTGTCACACCACAGGCACTGGATTCCCAGAAGCCTGCCCATGCACCAGGGACAGATCCCAATCCTCCTGCCTGGGTGCCCCCCAAACAGTTTGAGCCAAACAACCGTCTTCCGTGTCCAGAGGGCCTAGTCCAGTCCCATGGGGGCTCCACAGCCACCAGTCTACAGTTCATGGGCTTCTACTAATGTGGCCGGTCATCTCTGCACATCCTCCCATAATGATCTTGATGTCCCTTGCCTGCAGTATCTCTCCTCTCTCATCAGTTGGATTCCCAGAACTCGGCTTGGTGCCTGGCCATAGATCTCTGTATCTGCCTCCATCTGTCAGTGGACAAAGGCTCTATGATGACAGCTAGGTTATTTCCGAGGCTGGCCACCAGAGTAGACCGGTCCAGGCACTCTCTGGACCACTGCAAGCAGACCAAGGTGGGGTCAACCTTGTGGATTCCTGAGAGCCTCCCCAGCACCCTGCCTCTTCCTATTCCCATCATGTCCTCATCTATCATGGTATCTTCCTCCCTACCCTCCCACTCTGTCCCTATTCCATCTTGACCCTCCCATTTCCCTATGTTCTCATCCCACACTCCTCTCCCTCTGCCATCCCCCACACCCAGTCCACTCATGTAGATCTCATCCACTTTTCCTTCACAGGGTCATCCATGTGTCCCTCCTAGGTTCTTTTCCTATTAGCTAGCCTCTCTGGAGTTGTGGGTTGCAGTCTGGCTATCCCTTCCCTCCCATTTAGTATCCACTTATGAGTGAGCACATACTATGTTTGTCCTTCTGAGTCTGGGTTACCTCACTCAAGATGATATTTTCTAGATCCATCCATTTGCCTGCAAATTTCATGATATCATTGTTTTTTACTGCTGAGTACTACTCCATTGTGTATATGTGCCATATTTTCTTTATCCATTCTTCAGTTGAGGGGCATCTAGGTTGTTTCCAGGTTCTTGCTATTATGAATAATGCTGATATGAACATAGCTGAATATGTGTCCTTGTGGTAAGATTGAGAATTCCTTGGGTATATGCCCAAGAGTGGTATAACTGGGTCTTGAGGAAGACGTATTCCCAGTTTTCTGAGAACTGCCATACTGATTTCCAGAGTGGCTGTACAAGTTTGCATTCCCACCAACA